TACGGGCTTCTGCATGTGGCTCTGGAGACGGAAGGAGCTCTTCCCAGTCCTCTCTTCCGGTCACTGAGCCGCTGCAGCTCTGTCCCTGACCCAGTGAGAGCAGTGTGAAGTCGCCACATTGGAGGGCAAGAAATGGGCTTTTGGTAACAAAGAACCTGCATGAGTTCACTGCATCTGCTTTCCCAGCCTCAGTTTTCTGTTGTGGGTCCCCAGATGGCAGCTGCTATGCAAACTGAGGCAGAAGGAAGCGGGGACTCCAGGCAGGAGGGGGTGTGTCCCTGGCCAGTCCGGGCTTCCCCAGCGACCAGCACAGGGCCTGAAAGCAGTCCTTGTACCAGGGCCCCGAGCCAGGCCTGAGCTCAGTGTGTCAATCAGCCACGACCAACAAAGACATTTGTAGGAGAAAACATCTTGCTTCAACTTCAGGAGCTAAAATATTGTAGTCATAGAGAAATCTGCTTATTTACATCTTAGGAAAAAATGTATAAAGGAGCCAGAAAGCTTCCCATTCTGTTGTGATCTGGTTAGACTTCTCACTTCATTCATTTTGCGTTTTGCAGTTGGCTGTTTTCACAGTCGCGGTTCTGTAATGCATACATGTGCGCGCGCGCGCGCACACACACACACACACACACACATTTCCTTTTCTTTGTACTCATCTGAATATCTCACCTGTTCTCTACATTGCAGCATAACTTTAAATTCCTCTGAAAACACTCCAATGGCTTAGATTTCTGTTCTAAGAATCCAGCTCTTCCTTTCTGTTGAGGAAGACACATCTCCTCACTCTGTCGATGCGGGACTTGTCCTGTGTTTCTCCCTGTCGCAGGGGTCATGCATTTGATTGGAGTTTAGTCTTATGCCTTGCATTGGCTGATCGGATTCATCAAACACGATGGATGGAAGCATGTGATATCTAGTGTATCCAGCTCTTCTCTTTGCTCTTCCAGGCAACTTCCTTGTTAGAGATCAAGACGAGGTGGATGGCACAGAGCTGGCCCACACAGCTGCACTCTGAGGAGCTTCTCTGTCTTTCTATGAAGACCTCCAAGCCTGGTTGTAGATGTTTTTATTTTTGCCACCCCATTTGGCATGATTTGTTATTTAGCTACAACCAACTGATGCAATTACATCGATCTCCACCTTCTCTCGTATCATCTTGTCCCTCTCTGTAAGTGTGGTTGGGAAGTAGTTTATATAGCACCTCGAAATATTCTCTGCTTTCACTGTATGTTATTTAAGACTGCAAGTAACAGGAACTAAAGTAAAACTGATCTAATGCACAGGGAAAACTCTTTAACTTCCTGGGTGAGAAGTCCACATGGATCCGGATACGGACATATTTTTATGATCCCCTTATACTCAGGTTTGTGGGCTCATTATTTTTTCTTGTGGCAGCAAATTGGACCCTGAAACCTACAAGCTTTTATTCAACCAGTTCAGTGTACTTAGAAAAACAAAGCTTTTCTTTTCCAGTGTTTTCTATAAAAGGACTAGCCTTAGAATCATTGATCCAGTCGAGGAGCCTGTCTATCCCTGAACTGAGATGATGAATTACACATCACAGAATGATGCTAAGCTTGAACACATAATAGTAGAAAGTATCCAAAATTAAACACAGAAAGCCTATGTCCAGAGTTGTGTAACAACTTTAAGAAGGCCAGAAGGTAAGGGAAGTGGAATATTTGAAAGGATAATGGCCAGAAATTTTCCAAATTTAATAAAAACTATATAACCTGAAACCTAAAATACTCAATAAACTTGAAGGTCAAGAAATATGAAGAAAATCATTGCCAGGTATGTCATAATCAAATTCAAATACTGATAAAAAAGAAAACAAGGAAAGCTGCCAGCTGCCACCTGAGTCTTTGTTCCCTGTGTATAATGACAACAGGTTTCTTGCTGGAAACACTGCAAATGAGAAGACAGAGAAGCAAAACACGTCACAGTACTTGGAGCTGAAAAAGTAAGCAAAATAAGCTGTCTGCCTAGAATTGTACCGAGTGGACATCTTTTTAAAAACTAAAGCAACGTAAGTTATGTTTTTGGCACACAAAAACTAAAATAATTTATCAGTAGGAGACATTCACTATGACAGATTCTTTAATTTTTCTCTTTGTTTTTAATCAACAAATAATGATGGTGCATATTGGGATGTTTTGAAATATAGTAACAATGTAAAATGATTAAATTAGATTAATTAACAAATCCATCACTTCATACACAGTGATACCTCGATTCATGTTTTCCACAATTCTGGAAACAAACCAAATTGGACGAGAACTGAGTCAAATCTCCCCATAAGGTCAACATGGAACCTAGCCACTGAATTTTATTTGGTTCTCATCCAACTCATTTGTGAACAGAATCATGGAAAAAATCAAGTTCATGAACTGAAATACCATTGTACTTACCATTTTTGTGGTGAAACACTTAACACCTCCTCTTTCTCTAATTTTGAAATATGCAATTCAGTATGATTTCTTACAGTCACCATTTTGTGTGTTACATCACTAAATCACGGCAGCAAATAAAGGTAAAAAGGGAAATGAGGATCTTCATAGAGGAAAGAGGAACTCAGCAATGGTGACTCCATGTGGGGTGTGTGTGTATGTGTGTGTGTGTGTGTTACAATCTCTTTTAAAGGTAACTTCCTCTTTCTACAACATATTACATAGTTCAAATTATCTCTTCCAAGAAGTTTAGCAATTAAAAAAAAAAAAGGAAAAGCAATGACTGCAGCCTGGACAAAAGTTCGCTGATGTCATCTTAACTGCTGGAACATGGATGGCATCAAGAGTGATGAGAAAGTCAGCGTCATGGGCTTCCTGAGACCTCCCTCTGAACAGGGCCCAGCATCGTCCTGTGGAGCTCTCAGCAACAGTGTCTAATGTTAATCTGGTCCTGGGAGACCTCCCGTGGAAAAATACTACAAGGTCTATAAAACAGCTGAGAAGTAGTTCTGAAACACGTAAAGGTCATGGAAGACACAAAAACAGAAAAAAGTCACAATTTGAGGAAACAGGAAATGCAACAGCTAAATGTTCCATGGGATCCCGAACTGCATCCCGAGAAGAGAAAAAAACCACCAGAATGGAATTCTTCCACGGTCTGTCATTTATCACCGATGTTAACTCCTGGTTTTACTTATTGTGCTGTGGTAGTGTTTGATGCCAACATCAGTGAAGAGTTGGGTGAGGGATAGATGGAAATGCGCTCATTTTTATAGCTTTTCTGTAAATTGGAAATCATTTTGATATAACTCAGTGAATGATGAAATGCACAGTGACATGTAATGACAGAGTACTCTCACACTCAGCACAGAGAGGCTTGGCATAGTGTAGAAGGCACCTGCAGCCTCCCTGGGTGGCTGGTGATGCACTTGCAGCAGAAGGATAAGGAGGCTCCACTGAGAGAACTGTCTCTGCGTATTCACTGAATTCTGATGGGATATTGACTTACGTGTGAGCATGCATTAATTTTACTATCATGCCAAGGAAATAAAGAAGTCACATGGCTGGAGAGAACTCTCTACACACAATTAGCTCCAATACAGCTGTGCTTTTCTTTGTCATGCTGGGCATGGAACCCAGACCTTTGTGCGTGCTAGGAGAGTGCTCCCTATCCTGAGCTCCACCCTGGACCCTAACTGCATTCTTTCTTTCTCTGAAGAAAAGCTGGAATCTTACCATTAGCACTGTGTGTGCTTCAAGTCAGCATCTAACCATGAGGATGAGCCCTGCTGAGTCCTTTTGTACCACCTACATCCTGTTGCTCAAAACTCTTAAGCCCTTCATTAATCTAACCAGCAAAGGTCAAGAGTAGAATTTGTATCGCAGGATTGAATTTTCCTCTAGAAAGCTATTCCCATGGAGGTGGAAATTTTATATTCTGATCCCAGGAGTGCCTGCCTCAACTGTGTAAAGATAGTAAAGTAAAAACCCAGTGCTTAAGTATTAAGTGTGGCAGAAAACAATGGAATACTTTCATGAGCTAAATAAAACTTTAATTTGATAACTCTTCCAATTGTCTCCTGACCCAGACGAGTTAAGTCCTATCCTACCTGGGTGATAAGCAGCTTTTCTCAACAAAAGAATATTTTTTAAAGTGTAATTATATATATTTGACAATATTCATGAATACTGTAGTCTGGGTTCCATCATTGATTCTATCACTATAAGCATCGGTGGTAATGGGGCACGTTCACACTTCGGTGAGTGTTTCCGAATCACATTTCCTCTCATTTTTTAATAATGAAAACACCTTTGATTGTTTATAGACACCCCTTTTCTTCCGTCTGAGCACTTTTCATTTTGTGATTTATGAAAACAATTTCCTCTACATAGCTGTAATTTTCTAATCTTGGGAGACCTGTGACTTGGCATACATAAGAATTAATAAGAGAAAGACCCACTGCCATGTAGCAGAGCCACTGAAATCTCACTGTTCTTGATAAAGGAGGTTTTCAGCCACAATGTGACTTATATTGTAATTGTCTTTGGTATGAGAGGCAGGATGAGTTCCTGCCTGTTCCCCTCCTTCCCCCTGTAAGTGCTCTCAGTGCCCACTTCCGAGAGGTGATCCTGATGCTAGTGGCCAATTCCATCAATGAGAAACTCAGAGATTCCCTCCCCCACAGGTCAACTCCCTGGGACATAGGACATCAGAGAGCCCTGGGCAGGAGAAGGACCGGAGGAGGTGGTGGGACAGGCCTGAGACTGGACTCTTCTTCTGCTGCTCCTGCACCCCAGTGTCTTTGAGATCCTTGGCTGAGTCACATTCCCCCTCCCTAAGTAGCACAAACCATCTGGATTTGACTTCTCTATGTGTGTCATATCTGGCTTACAATTGGGAATTTTAAAAAAACACCTTTTTATGCTCTCAGACATCATAATTTGTGTCATTGTGACTCTGAGTCTGTGTTGTGATTCTTTGTGACATTCATGTTTAGTAAGTTTCACAGTGTGAGACTTGGACTTCCAGTGTTTTTCAGAGGCAGGATAAGTAGGAGTCGCTTGGTCCCCATTGAATTAGCGGCATTGTCTTCTCATAATTATGGACCATCTGAGTATGTGTCAGATCTTGCTGAGCTATCCTCCATTGCTTGGGCAGTATTGCAGAGACACTAGTAAATTTTTGTGTGAAGACCTGTCTGTATATTGGACAAAAGTTGTCAAATTCAGTTCCTGAAAATGCTACCGAAATATCAGGTCCAAGTGTAAGTCAGCAATACCCTTCTATAGTATAGTATAATTCATTATCTTCCTAAACAACACAAGCACATTATGACTTAATAACAAGTGTTTTTCTGTGAAATAGAATTGTAGTAATTTCCAATCTAGTATATCTCATTAATGAGATTTACTATTATTGACAACACTGAGAAATGCCTTTTTGTTTAAAATCATTTTCTAAATTACTGATTTCATCTGCCACCAAAAACTATTTCCAGATTTTCTCCTGGAGATGAAATGTGTGTGCTTCAGATAAGTTTTAATGATTTTCCTAGGTAACAAGAATTTATACAAACAAAACAAAAAGTAACCACATGTTTTCTCATGTTTTGATATTTCTAAAGCATCAATATTCAGAAGAATATCCAGCATTATACATTCAAATACTGTGAATTTTTTCACCCAGATTTGGAAAGCCAAATTCACCATGAGTCAAGTCTTAAATTTGAGTCAGCTTTGCCCCATTTTATCCATGACCTTAGACAAGTAAGTTATCATTTCTTACTTCCAGCTCCTTTGTCTATAAAAAGAAAACATCATTCCTTTATTGAGTAACTATTATGTGCCAAATACTGCCCTAGGCATTAGGAACATAGCAACAAATAGAATTAGATACATTTCCTGATCCCTGGGATGCTATAGTCTCCTGAAAAAAGACAACCGACACATTGATGAAGAAGTAAATGAATAAAATAAACAAAGGATAAATTGATGATTCCAATAGAGCCAGGTAATGTAAATGAAGTAGCTGGGGACAGTGGCTTTGGCAGGAAGGTCAGGGAAAACCTCTGTGAGGCTAGTGACTTCAGAATGGCAATTTGAAGAATGAGGATGATTTGGCTACAGAAGTCCAGGAGTAACTGCATTCCAGGAAGAAGGAACAGCAGAGTTCCCCGAGGTGAGACCTGACTGGTTTCCTGGAATGTCTTTGGTTGTAAAGTTCAGTGATTTCTGCTCTCGTCTCTTTATGGTGTCCCACCTGTAATATCCTAGGCTACCCACTGTCAAGGGATGGACTTAACCTTTGCTAGGCTCACACTGTCTTGTCATGAACAAAAGGTATGTCTGAGTTTGTTAGGACCATTCCCGACCTGACACATCCACTCCCTCTCTACTTTCCATGGGCAACCCATCAGCTGACTTGAAGAAGAACAAGAAAATATTGCTCCTCCAACCTCACTGTAGATCCTTCCATCTAGGTCCCCCCCCCCTCGCCATATACCACCAATTTCTGGGAAATTGTATTCAATTTAAGTGACCATCACTTAGTGTTTTCTGCAGGGTATGAAGACGTAAAGTACCGACACTAATAGTGTTCATAAAATTAATACTGATAAGGATAATTAGGTTAAGGTATCTCATTCTATATACAGAATATACTTCTCACACATTGATCTGGTAAGACATTGACTCTATGAAGGACATTGTCTTAGTTACTCTCTCATTGCTGGGACAAAATACCCAAAACCCACAGGAGAGGTTTATTTTGACTCACAGTTTGTAGAGTCTTCAGTCCATAGTCGGCTGGGCACCCTGGCAGATGGGCATAGCAGAGGAGAAACAGTCCATGGAGTGTCAGGCAGGAAGCAGTGAGGGATCAAAGGAGGAGGAGGGAGATAGACCCTTCCAGGCCTCGCCCACAGTGACCACCTCTTCTTACCAGGCTTCCCTACCCAACATCACACTCAGCTATAAGCCCATCAGTGCTGTAGTCCAGTGATGTCTGTCACACAACCATGATCTAGTCACCTCCCCAAAGCCCCACCTATGAGCTCATGAGGTTTTGGGGGAACATCTAGACATAAACAAGAGCAGATAAGTTATGGTGTGGTAGGTATAATTGTTATCTGGATTTGCACCAATCAATGACAATCTCGAGCTTAACTTAAGTCCACTCCCAAACAATTAACAAGATAGTCACAGAGTCTGATTGCCATCACTCTAGAACCTAGAGCTTATAAATGGGCCTCCTTCATTTTTGCTTTGTGATTCAAAAAAAAAAAAAAGCTTTCGATCACCATGACCACCATATTGGTTTCACTTCACTGGATCATCCTATTCTTGCCTTATGAAAATTATTTTTTACAGTACAGCACATGTGTGAAAGAAGATCATTAGGACTATTTCCAAATTAGAGCATAATTTGATAACTGAAAAGTTATAAAGATAATCCAGACAGTGAATAACTAAAGGACATTGAAAGTGTGTTATATATTTGGTATTTATTATGTTTTTCAAACAGGTGTTACAGGTTAAGTGCACCTTACCATGCTATGAGTTCTGGGCGTGCCTGTGGATGACTGACATGTAAGACAGCATACTGAAGAAAGAAGACCACCCTAGATGTGGTGCTACCAACCAATAGGCTTGAAGCCTGGATATGTAAATAGGGAAAGAAGAAAGAAGTGTCACCATTTTGGAAGAGCTCCAGACTTCCTCATCACCTTTGGACATGGGTCTTCAATTTCTTCAGTCTTCCAATCCAGACTCACATCAGTGACTCCACAGGCAGACCCCAGTGCTGCATCCTTGATTCCTCTTGTTCTGCAGCTTCCATCTTCTCAAGCAGAGCAGCTACCAACTTACCTAACTCTGCAGCTGCAGCTGGCCATTGTGGATTCTTCTACTTGTAAGCCTATCTAATAAATCCCCTTGCACAATTCCGCATATACTTTCCATTCACTCTGCTCCTCAATGGGACCCTAACTACCACAATTTGTTTAAAGAACAATCCTGTCCTTGCTCCCTGTCCCCTACATTACTTTATTGACTTCTCTGCATTTTGTATTCTGCATTGCTCGGCTTGTTTCTGTCTCAGCTCTGTGATCACAGGAGTTCTTTTTCCTCGCTGTTACATCATCAGTGTCTACATGAGCGGCATAGAGCTGGGGCTCACGAAAAGCTCGTCGGTTAAGCAAATCGGGATCATCATGGCTGGATGCTCTGCCACTGTGTCACTGATGAGGGAGCTACTAAGGCAGGCTGAATGCTAGGTAGATCAATAATGGAGAGAATGTTTCTTCCCAGCATGTCTGCAATTGTAGAAAGAGCTTAGAAAGAACCAGGTCCCTATTTTAGACTGCTCACTCATGGACAGAGACAAGGCTTTGTAAACATAAAATCTTGATGTGCTCAGAGCTATTACCTGTCATCCTTCTATCCATCTATCATGGATATCTGTATCATATTACATTATAAGATATGATGTGGCCATAGCATGGCATAGTAGGCTTCCTTGCTTAAATGTGTACAACAGCATCTCCTGTTCTCTGACTGTCCGCTTGTTCTCTGACTGTCCGCTTGTTCTCTGCTGGGCTCAGGTCAAATAAACAAACAAACAAACCCTAATGCACACAGGTAGGAGGAATCTAGGTTTCGTGGGATTGTGATTTTTCTCTTCCATGAGAAAAGACAACATTAGGAAACACATAGAATCTTTTATCTTGATTCACAGCTGATAAATAGTGAGAATGGGAAGGAAGAAAGGCAGTGACCAACAGAGGGAATATTTAAGGGTTTGGAAGGGCGTGCCATGTACATCACTAATTTGGATTCCTAGAAATGTCATTAGCCAATATGCCAAGCAATGAAGAACTCATAATTTACTCCATTAGAAGACAGCTTTACCATGGATTCTAGTTTGGAAATACACTATTCTGTAAGCATAAGTGAGTTTTTTTCTATAAATAAATAATAAAAATGCAACGAGCTTAAGGAATTTGACCTAAAAAGGACGTTTTTGTGGAATGATTAAAAATAATATGTTTGAAAATTTGCCACACTTTTATACAGATTATGTAAATCAAAAATGTAATGCTCCCTCTCAGACTAATATTTTTGTTTCAGTGGAAAGCTGGTCTAATTGGAAAATGTCCCCTCTGGCAGCATGGAATAAGTAAGTCACAGGAGAGTATTCTTTCAGATAAACTTCAAATTTAGCTCTTTGCTTTCACAAACTCCCAATTTAGACATTTTTAGCTTTACAGTAATTATTAGCACATTTAGGGAATGGATTTTTCTTTTTCCCTTGCCTGTCTGCTTGGAGGCTCCATGGACTTGTGAGTCTCTTGACCCCACATGGAGCACTGAGGATGACAAGGCCACAGGCTGAGCACGCAGGGCCCTCGGGAGGGCTGTGCACTGGTAACGGCCTAGTCTGGCCACTCAGCTCCTTCGGGATCCATTTACAGGCGAGTGGAGGGAGGCAAGGAAAGGTGAAGTTACAGCCTCTGATGCTCAAGCCTAGGAAGAGGCGGAGCTAGGGCTTAAATCCATCATCATAAACCACTTCCTGTTAAGCAAATAAATAGGTAGGTCGCTGAAGGGAAGATGGAGAATGACTAATGACAAAGCCACAGAGGGAAAAGCCAGACCCCCTGAGAACAGGAAGAACTCTTCCGGACGTCCAGGCCCACTTCCAGCTCCTGGCTCTGGGACTCTGCAGAGAAGGTGGGGACAGGGCAGCCCTGTCTCCAGCTCCTCTGGGTGCCTTTGATTCAGGTGCTCAGAGACTGCAGTTGAGCATGCTGGCTTTGCTGTTACATCTCAGAGCTCTGCTGTTCTTGGTTTCACCTTCTTCCTCACCTGGCCTTCCACATGCTGACAAAACCACCAGGGCCACTGGATCATTGTCTACCAGCCTGGCAAACCCAGCAACAATGAGCAGCTGAAACCCTCCTGCCACAGCCTTCCCAGAAGAACGAATCCTGTGATATAAAGGGTATCCCTGGAGATTAGGGCAAATTGATGAAGCTTGATTATTAAATACCAGCAATGCATCATCACTGAGAATTTTCTAATTTTGAAGGTTGTGTGGACATTTGGAAAATTTGTTCTCATTGTAGGAAATTGATACTTAAGAGATTCAGAGTGATTGGCTACTGTACTGGTGGTTTATTAGCATTTGGATCCATAAAAAAGTTCCTTGTACTATCTTTACAGGTGTTATGTTCCTTTATGACTACTTACACTAACATATACATTAACCTCATGATTTATTATCCCCCAAACATCTGTGTCCGGCCTTCCCCACTGCCTGGACTGTGATCCTGCTGAGGCTGATCTGTTCCTTTGTCCCTCCAATCCCTCTGGACCAGCAGGTCACCCCATCATGCTTTCCCCAAGGAGATGGCAGAGGCCCAGGAGAGCAACAGGAACACACATGGTCTGGAAATCTTAGGCCAGGAAGTGGAATGCCAGCACTTCCGTCTCTTCCTATGGGCCAAAGCGAGACATGGTCGAAACCCAAGTTAACCACCCCATGGCAATGAATATGAGAACTGAGGTCCATGATGGAATTTACTATGGTTATAAACAGGGAAAATGGGAGTTCCCAGGGGTGCTCAAGAGATGTTCACACACTTGTCTAATGCACCCCAGGACAGGTTTACTCTAGGAGGAAAGTCTCGCACCATAAGACTCGTACTCTGTTTGCACGTGTGATCCTCAGTCATCAATTGACAGATGTTAGCTCTTTTCATTTCAGCAACTTCTAGTCACCAACCCTGCAGGTTTTCTTTAAATATGAATCAGACCAAGGACAAATATCTTACTTCCTCCTGTATTTTTCTTTGTGATGATGAGATTTCTTTGTTTCTGTTCCAAGCAGATGGTTAGAATTAAATGTCTCCAGAACATTATGATTTAATTTAAGCCATTCATTAAAGTGGTGTTCAGTATTGCTGTTCACTAGTGCACATGTGAATTGACTTAGTTCTGGCTCTTAGTCATTTTAAATTGTCATGTATTCTGTACACTTCTGCACTGCAGTGTATTTGAATAAAAATTTGGAAAAAGTGGGTAATGAAAACTGGAGTATGAAGAAAGATTGATAGTATGTACCTATTTAGTTAGGAAAGTAAAAGAAAAAATAGTGAAGAAAGGATCGTGCTTAAAAAGAGTTAGAAAAATTAATAGCTTAGTAGCTAGGTCTGGTTGCACCACCTACTGCCTAAGATCACTGCTGCCCTAAGTGTGATTCCTTCACCATCACAGCCCCCATCGATAAGAGAGGAATCTGAGAATTCAACTAAGTTACTTGAGCCAGTTTAGGGTTTAGAAATGATTTGTATGCAATACAATAAAACTTTATCCGCCTCTTCACTGGAATTTATAGTTGTTGGAGCTTGGGAATTTATTTCATGTGCAGCACTGAGTGTATCTGAGAAGAAGGAGCTGCCTGCTTACACCCAAACTTCCAAAATCTCCTCATGCTGATTTACCACCCCCCGTTAGAACCGTTTCTCTTCACCCCCGCACAAATGGAAATTTACAGCATAACAGCCTCAACTCCCTATTTCTCCTTGGGTCTTGAATCGAACTTGAATTTGTATCCTTCCTTTTAGAATGATATATATTTTACTATCATTTAGAAGTGGCTGAATATATTATAAAATGTTTGCAAATGCAGAAAATATCAATCTCCTCCTAATTAAAAAATTATAAGGAGAAAACTATGCCAAAGAGTTAGAACTATAATGCAATTGTTCTGATTTATGGGGCATATTTTTGCTTTCTCACTCAAACTACTCTCTTGTCTTGTTAGAATTCTGGAAAGTTATTCACCTAGAGTTGGTAACATTTTACTTCATCTGATTTATCTTTATCAGTAAATATATATATATATGAGTATGAATAATTTCTTATAGAACCTAATTTAATTTTCTTTTTTGAGGCAAAAATTTGAATGTTGGGAGAAAATTCAAACATAATCCTGTGGGCACTCTAGATTTTTAAATTTATCTCCTTTTAAATAAGAATGACAGTTTTTGCTCTCATGCACTTATGCTGGTTGTGGACTCTAGAAACAATATATACTCTGGTGTAGACAGAGTCAGAATCCTCAAGAAGGATTGAACCTTGTTTTAAACAGCGCGCGCACACACACACACACACACGTACCAGTGTGAACATTCTGGATTAGCTCATGAAATCAAAAGTTTTTGATTACCTGGATATCAGAGGTCAGAAATCAATAGTTCAGCAGACCTGAGAGGAAAGGGTCCCTAGAGCCCCTTCTACTGTTCAATCCTTATTACTGGATCAATCTTTCTGCTTCTCAATGCAAATTCTTGAAACAAAGCTTCTCATTGGCTTGTTGCCAGCCAATCAGTGACTCTTGGGGTGTGGGAGTCGGTTGTTCACAACCTGTCCAATTACCAAGAAGGTGGGTTGGTAAAATTTCATCAGTACTTTGGAGTCCATCCCTGTATGGCTATTTTCAAGAAAGTGGCACGTGATCTTAAGAAATCCCCAAAACATTCCCTCATGCCTTACACCTTCTATGAGAAATGCTTCCTGAGCAGGACACAGCTAGTTCACAGTGAGGCCCGCTGTATTAGGAGGCAGTTGATCTCTCTCCTCTGGGACCTGACTTCTGATCCCTAGCCACCCTGGAGAAAGAATCAGTGCCTCCCTCCTTCTGGTGCTGAGGGATGGATGTGACCGCTGATCAGCTGTCCCTCCCGGATTAGGACTGTTGAGGACATTGCAGCTACACTTCCCCTGGGAAGGGGGGTGTACAGTAGCACACTTACACCCAGACACAGATGTACATGTGTGTGTGGTGCATGTGAACTCCCTAGGTCTGCTATTCCTGGATGTTAAAACCATGCTCTCTGACAACTGCACCTAACTGCAAACTTACA